CTTGGGCTGAGTTCGTAGTAGGAATCTTGCAAACGTTTCAGTATTATCTCTGCGCAGAGACCATGTGAGTTATTTTCTTCCCGACCAGTGAAATAACAAGGACCAAACTGGCATGAGAGGAGGAAAATGTTTTCAATTTTCTACCTTGAGCAGATTGATTTCTTCTTCTTCTCATTCAAAGAATCTGTTTCCTCAAGCAGTGCCGAGCACAGATACGTGATGGAGGGCCCTGCATCTCCCCAAAATAAAGGCCTGAACTAATGAGGTGCCGAATCCATCCTGTTAGTGAGCTCTGTCGATTGCCCCTGTAGTCGACGCGCATTGAGGGTGTTTGGCATTCACGGCAATTGCTGAATTGGGCCCTGGGTATCACCAGGTTCATAGAACCAGGGTGGCTTTTTTCTTTAAGGCTGAAGAGCAGGTAGCCTAATTTTGAAGTAAGTCAGGCTCTAATTTTTACTTCTTGTGGAGAAATCCTAATAAAGTAGTTGTTGCTGCCCCATTAGTTACTTATCATTTCTGCCTTGTTTCAAATTCTTTGATTACGTGTCTCAGCTAAGGGAGTTGGGTAACCCCTTCTCCCAAGAAAACTTGTGTCAGAGCTGTACGAAAAGGTAGTACTTTCTCATTAGTGGCTGACGTGATTTTAACGCTGAACAGATCTGTGGTGAATAGATGTCATCTGTTCTTCGGATTTTAGCTGTGGTTTTGTGCGTGAAATGCTGTTGACTGGAATAATTTTCACCCTGCGCTTCCTGGCTGATTCTGGCAAAGCCATACCCCGTGTAGCGCTTTAGAGTGAAAGATCTAAATATTTCTATTAGCAGAAGCGTGTTAAATTTCTCGTGTGCTATTGGCATAATGGGCTGACACGAAGCAGGCAGATGCTGGACCAAAGGAAGTAGTCGGCTTGTGAAAAGATAGGAACAATTTCAGCTCTCTAAACTGATATCTCCTTGAATTCCTCCTTGTATATTCGTCAAGTTTAGCAGTTTGCTGCTGTGTATTTAATGGCTGTTTAGGTTAGGCTGGGGTCCTTCAGAGTGGCAGAGGAGGGTGAGTTTGAATTTGCATCTCCTTTGCATCTCATAGGTGTATGAATTAATCTGGGAGAAAATGATCCGCATCTTTGTCGACCGAGATGAGTTAACAAAATTGATTACAGAAATTGATTTATTTGTAATGAGTACGGTTAAATACCTGACATCATATTCCTTTCTAAACACCCTTCTACCCAAAGGTTTGGTAACAGTAACTCTTGGATACCTGGAAAGTAATCTGTTTCCAGTTAAAATGTCAATGCATATCAAATGGATATGAAATAAACCCATGTCTGTAGCTGCTGTGCTGTTAAGAGGTTATTCGTGGCTACATTTTAATCCTGTCTCCTTAAACAAAAGTTTTGCAAGTAAATTTGTAAAAAAATACTGCAAGCTATGTTTATGGATGGACTTAGAAAGTGCAGAGGCCCCTGGTATGATTTTTAATTACGTGGGCATGGAAAATGTTTGGTTTCTGAGAAAGCCGCATCGTGCGAGTTGAGGCTCAAGATGTGGAGGGTAAATTTAACACAAACTACACTTGGCATGCAAGGGCTATCAAAAGTGACATGTAAAGCAAATTTAACCTTCACAAATTTAAAACTTTGTAGCTCGGAAAGAAATGATGCTTCTGAAGATTTCTACATAGATCTTGACAACCTAAGCTGTCTTTCTGGCTACATATTTCTGGATAGCTGTACAGAGACATTAGATGTATGAAATATAGTTTTAAGACAATGTGCAGCCAAAGTACTGGTACTACGTAAAGGGCACAAACTTCCTAATTTTCTTTTTTTTCCCCCCACGAGAGTTCCTTATTTGTCCCGCTCTAATCTAATCAGTCTCGAAGTCTGCCTGTCGTGGCTGGGATTTTGCATCCCGCTGTACGTGCCATTCCGCTTCCCTTGAGGTGTGAATTGGTTTTGGTCCTCCGAGACCAAAACATTAACTGGCTGTTCGATAACCGTTCTGTTTTGTCGGGCTAAAGTAGAACTATTTCTCATATTTAAGCCGAAAGGCACGTAAGCCTTAAAGCTGGCAGTCTGTAGGCTCGGGATAACACCAGGGCAAATGGGAGACGTTGCTTAATACCCAGGTTAAGTGTACGATAACTCCGATGCTTTCAGCTTCCAGTGAGGGAAGGAGGGGGCATCGCTCCGGAGCACCTCCTGCCGCATGTTTGCGGTGGCAGGAATGGGCAGGCGAGCAGCTGCTGGTACGGGGGCTCGGGGAGAGGAAAATGGACACTGGGGAGGAAGGATGCGTGGCAATGACCTTCCAACCTGGCGCAGGACAGCCTGTTTCCTGAGCTGCTGACTCAAGGGTACAACAAGCCCTCCCCATGCGTGTCCTTGGTTGGGATTGGGCAAGAGAGAGGGAAACAGTGGTCAGGCACCTCAATTTTGCTGGGAAATGTGCAAAACTTGAAACCTGACATGAGTTTTTTGATGCAAGTCTGGGAACTTATTGCTGGATCTCAATCAAGCGTAGCTTGACTACAGAAAAGGAAGGAAAAGCGTGAAGGTTTTCGGTGTTGGTGGTTTGGTTTGGGTTTTTTTTCCTGTTGGCAAGTATTATCTTTACGCAGAATGCCTTTAGAATATCTTATGTGCAGTAAGCAAGGGCTCTTTCGGCTATCGTGCAATTAGTTTATATCGCTTTCAAATGAACACCACTGGACAGAAAGGTCAACCTTGACCCTGGTTTATTCTGTGCCAGTATCGCCTGCTTAAAATCTCCGGCGATGGTCGCCCCTCTCCACCCCCTGAGGACTTTGGCCGTTTATTTACAAAAACAACCCTTCTGAAATCCCAACTCCTCAGATTTTTTTAGGGGAAGACCTAGTTGTTTGAGCCTGTTTCTACCCCTGAAAAACTGCTTTTGCATTAATGGAGAGAAAGCAAGAGATGGTCTTTTACCCCACGTACTGCCCAGCTGGGCCTGATCCGACCACTGGCACGTAACAGGATTTTGGTATCCCTGGACTCCAGGGGAGTTGCATGCAGGGTGGGATGCTATCCGGAGTGCAGGTGGTAGAATTTGGCCCCTGCAACAGAACTCCTTGTTATTTTATTATTATCGTGAGGTCTCCAAACTTCACTTGCTTAATGTGCTTCTTGATAAGGAATGATCTCTGAAGGCAGTGTCCTGATAACAGTCTAAGGCTCTGGATTTCCCATCTGAATTCATGACATATTTTTTTTTATTTTTATCACTCTTTGCTTTCCTGTATGCAAGGAGCCAGTAATGTAAACAAACATCACGTCCCTTGCATAACTGTCTCTGACACCAAACCTCTGAAAATTCTTTTAGTACATCCAGAATACGTGGGCAAAGGCTGCAGAATAAACATAATGTCTCTAAGTATTAAAAGCTTTTTTTTTTTTCTACCCTGGTTGCAAACTAAGCATTGACTACTGTCTTGATTTTACAGATTATTTCATGCTGAAATTATGCCTATTTGCATGGATAGTCATTCTTTAAAACTAGCCACAGATGCAGTCCTAGGGAGCACGTAGATGTTTTTACAGGTGAACCGAAAGAGATGGGAGCAATTCCAAAAAGTCTGCATGCTGCCTTTGGCAATATACCCTGTTATTGTGAAGATTGTGCTCTGTTAAGCAAATGTAAAGTTTAATATTAGATAAGCCTCGCATGAAAAATATTTTAATTTTCCTCAGTGTTAAATTTTAAGAAACAGGAAAGAGAGTCTAGTGCTTTATGTGCAATGTGAGTTTAGCATCACTAGTTAATAAGTCACAAATTATGTCAAGAGCCTTTTACAAAATGCAAGGAAGTGTGTTATCTTTTTATGCTGTGTTCCTGGGAAACAATGAGAGTTCATATAAAGAGAAGGTATCTTCCTTTCTCACGCAGCTGATTGATGTTATTTCTTTCATCTTTCCATATTTTTTCTCATCTTTTCTGCATGTCACAGGAAATAAGATTCTGTGTATTCAAAATATTACATGTAAGAAGGGCTTCACTGGGCATTTGAGATACTGTTCTTGGAGATTTTTCTAAAGCAGAGAGATGTGACACTGAACATGCCTCGTTTCTGCTATGCAAAAAATTTAACGTCATGTATTTTAGTGTACGAAATACAGAATCTTGAGCCTTCGGTAGTGGGGCTTGCTTGGAGAATATAAGTGAAGAAAAGGGAAGGAATGTATGGGGAATTCAAAACAGTGTCGTGGCTGGTCACTGGTACATACGAGGCTGTGTTAACGAAGTACATTTTGGCCTTTATTTGATCACATCTCTGTAAATATTATAATCCCGACCATAAAATATTTTAATGCATTTTTGCTTTGCTGAATAAATGTTTCCCTAATGATTTAAGAGAGTTTTTTTTTCCCCAGTGTAAGCCTAAATGCGTCTATGATTTCTTTGCCTTTCACATACACGTATACTATCCTACCTACAATTAAGTGAAAGTTGTTGTTTTGACCTTCGAATGTTTATTTACCAGTTTTATCTCTCTTTAAAAAGCAAAACTACAATTATGGTTTTTACATCGCAATTGAATTTTTTTAATCCAAATTTTATACAATTTCTTGTTTTAACAATAAATCTTAAATAAGGAGTACTTTCATCTTCTTTTGTAACATGTATCTCAATGCCCTAAATTTAATCAATTGGTTGTCAGAGGCTGTGTTCTTCTAATCTACTCTTTCTTCTGAAGATAAACAGTATCATTTTAGGCATTTGTGCAAGAGAATCATATTACTGGTGCTTAAGCAGTTTTTGCTTTTTTAAATCTTAATCCATCTTAAACCAGTGGAGCAGAAATATTTAAAAATGTTTCATTTCAAGCAGAGTGCATAATAAATTGCAATAATTGTAATGTGCCATAAATCCCAGAGCCTATGCATTTTGCATTTTATTCAGGATTGAGGTCAGGAAATTTGGAGAAATTTAAAGAAAATGATTCATCAGTCCTTTTGTTCTGTTGGCCAGGGTCCCAGGATTCTTGAGCTGAGCCCAGCTGACAAGCTTTTGAAGATGGCACAATAACAGTCCAGTGATGCCTGACCATGACAGCACAGCCCTCTTAAGCAGGCAAACCAAGAGAAGAAGAGTTGACATTGGAGTGAAAAGGACGGTAGGGACAGCATCTGCATTTTTTGCAAAGGCAAGAGCAACGTTTTTTAGTGCCATGAATCCCCAAGGTTCAGAGCAGGATGTCGAGTATTCAGTGGTGCAGCATGCAGATGGGGAAAAGTCAAATGTACTCCGCAAGCTGCTGAAGAGGGCGAACTCATATGAAGATGCCATGATGCCTTTTCCAGGAGCAACCATAATTTCCCAGCTGTTGAAAAATAACATGAACAAAAATGGTGGCACGGAGCCCAGTTTCCAAGCCAGCGGTCTCTCTAGTACAGGCTCAGAAGTACATCAGGAGGATGTATGCAGCAACTCTTCAAGAGACAGCCCCCAAGAGTGTCTTTCCCCTTTTGGCAGGCCGACTATGAGCCAGTTTGATGTGGATCGGTTATGCGACGAGCACCTGAGAGCTAAACGCGCCCGGGTTGAGAATATAATTCGGGGTATGAGCCATTCCCCCAGCGTGGCATTAAGGGGCAATGAAAACGAAAGAGAAATAGCTCCGCAGTCTGTGAGTCCCCGAGAAAGTTACAGAGAAAACAAACGCAAGCAAAAGCTGCCGCAACAGCAGCAGCAGAGTTTCCAGCAGCTGGTTTCGGCGAGGAAAGAGCAGAAGCGAGAGGAGCGCAGACAGCTGAAGCAGCAGCTGGAGGACATGCAGAAGCAGCTGCGCCAGCTGCAGGAGAAGTTCTACCAGATCTATGACAGCACTGACTCCGAAAATGATGAAGATGGCAACCTGTCTGAAGACAGCATGCGCTCCGAAACCATGGACGCGAGGGGCGGCGACTCTGTCGGCAGGTCGGACAACGAGATGTGTGAGCTGGACCCAGGGCAGTTCATCGACCGGGCGCGGGCCCTCATCCGGGAGCAGGAGATTGTGGAGAACAAGCCGAAACGAGAAGGTCCCAAGGAGAAGGAGCAAGGGCCAAACGCCTTCCACCCCGAAGGCAAACATTTGGCCGAAACACTGAAGCAGGAGCTCAACACAGCCATGTCGCAAGTTGTGGACACAGTGGTCAAGGTTTTCTCGTCCAAGCCCTCCCGCCAGCTTCCTCAGGTCTTCCCGCCTCTCCAGATCCCGCAGGCGAGGTTCGCCGTCAACGGGGAGAACCACAACTTCCACACGGCCAACCAGCGCCTGCAGTGCTTCGGGGACGTCATCATTCCCAACCCCCTTGACACCTTCGGCAGCGTCCCCATGCCCGGCGCCACCGACCAAACCGAGGCGCTGCCCCTTGTCGTCCGCAAAAACTCCTCCGACCAATCCGCCTCGGCCCCGCCGGCCGGGGGCCATCATGCCTCCCTGCACCAGTCCCCGCTCTCGGCCACCGCCGGCTTCTCCACCTCCTCTTTCCGCCACCCTTTCCCGCTGCCCCTCATGGCCTACCCCTTCCAGAGCCCCCTGGGCGCCCCGTCGGCCTCCTTCCCGGGGAAAGAGCGCGCCTCCCCCGAATCCCTCGACCTGACCCGGGAGACCACCAGCCTGAGGACCAAGATGTCGTCGCACCACATGAACCACCACCCCTGCTCGCCGGCCCACCCCCCCAGTGCCGCCGAGGGCCTCTCCTTGTCCCTCATAAAGTCCGAGTGCGGCGACCTGCAAGACATGTCTGAAATCTCACCCTACTCGGGAAGCGCAATATCCTTTTTGAAAGACAAGTGATAACACGGCGGTGGCTGGAGGGAGAGGACGAGGGGCCATGCCCACATCCCAGAGCGTCCCCTGGGGGCTGCAGGAGCGGGGCAGTTGTGGGGGAGCAGGTGGGGGGGCTTGGGGAGGCCAAATAAAATGCCAGGCGTTGGCTGATGGCTCTCCTTCAGCAACAGTGTTCACATAAAATAGCCACCCCCCTCCCCAAGCCTTTTAGACCATCCCGTGGGGTCAGAAACTGAGCCAAGCCCATGACCCGGGTGCCGGTGGGTTTCCCAGGGCCAGCAGGTCCTTCCCCAGGCAGGGAGGTGATGGAGGGGACGTCGCCCTCGGCCAAAAACCTTTCAAGCCATGGCTGCCTCCTTTCCCTCCCCTGCCAGGCCAACACATGACCTGCGTTAATGGTGTCGTGGCCGGGGCTCACAGAGAGCCACGGTCTGGTCATGGTGAGCCTTCAGCTCCCGAGCCCGTAAGGGAGACGAAGCACAAAAGACACAGGTACTGATGTATTCAGGCTGCATCAAGTTCTTTCCCCCACCCAGAGGTCTGTTCCTCAGCCCTTGTGCAGCTGCCTGCTATGCATGATTAACCTCTGTTCAGCCATACACAGAAATCTTTTGTCCTAACATACACAAAGCAAATTATTTTGGAAAGCTAGAGCGAACAATTAAATATAAAACTTCAGCTGTATTAAATTTACAGGACACTTCCCCTGCTTAAAAAAAAAAGATGATAATAAAATCTCTCTTTTTAGCTCAATAGCAGGCTTTAGTCAGGGGAAAAAATACATCTCTGACTTTATTTAGGCATAACCAGACATAGTCATGCTCTTTCTTTTTTCCTGGAAACTAGTACTAGATTTTTTTTTTTTTCTTTTTTAGCAATAACACCTCCCACTCTTTGCATCTTTTCCCCTAATGTGCTTTTTGGTCAAAAGATTTTTCTTCTTAGTACAGTTGTATTAAAAGTGAATAAAATACTGTGTCTGCCCAATGCTAAAATTGAGGATTTTGAATGAAGGTCAGATCAACATTTTATCCGGGCTCCAAGAGCCCGGCAGAAGGCAACGGCACAAGCACAGAGCCTTAGATGCAGCTAATTTCGTTCCTCAGCTGATGAAAGTAATTCCGACTGAATAACTCTGCCCCTCCCTGAGTAATGGCAGTGATGCTGAGGAACTTGTCCCCTTTCCAGGGGTATCCCATGAAAGCGGATGCACGAGGCTGTGCACCATCACCGAGTGTCTTCTAGGCGGTTAATAACTCTGGTGGGTTTAGATAAATTTAATCACATTTCGTGTAGACGTGTTAAATCCTCAGGAGGGTGCTGGCAGGGCTCGAGACCCACTGGTTGCCTGGACTTCCCATCCCTCCCATGGCAGTGGGCACCAGGTGCTGCAGTTCCAGAGCCCATTGCCACCAGCCTTTGATGTAACTTGGGTCGAGTCTGAGTCAAGAATTGCTGCTGTCTGACCTGTATGAATAGTCCCATTTTGATAGGGGAAAGGGTCCCCAGTTTGAAAGCACCTTCCTTAGCTGTTGGTGTTTTAAAAGAGCCAGCTGGTAGTGGACGTGACATTTGAGGGACCTCTTTGCCAAAAGAGGATCTCTCAGCTGCCTCGGTAGCAGGGAAATCTTCAGCTTGCCATGTATGTTTTATGGCAAAACGGAGGAGTCGGTCTAACACCAGCATCACTCACGGTTACTGCCAGTTACTTATGGAGATACAAAATGAAAATCTTTCTTGCATATTGAAACGCAAGCTGCGATGCTTAGAAAGCAGTCCTCAGGTCAACAGGAGTGGCAGCTGAGGGCAAGACTCAGGCCAGAGCAATTAAGTAATTTCTACCAAACAGGACAGTGGCATACTAACTGTTCTTGTATAAAAGTAGTTCTCCTGTCCTGGGAGAGGAGTGATCAGAGCTGAAAAATGCCAAGCGTGTGAACTAGGAGTAGTTCTAGGGCTGCATGTGATCCTCTCCGCCCGTAGAGCATCTCTCCCTCACCCCTGCCGTTTCTCCGCCTTTCTCCTGCTCGTTCTCACTGGCGGTCAGTCGCTAATGGAGCTTGTTGCTTCTGCCAAAACAGGGGCGCGAGAGTCCCCCGCCTCTCCGAGGCTTAGCCAGGGGAAACGCCGGGTGCAAGAGTGATTCCTTTCCTCCTCCCTTGCCCCGTGTCTTCCCCCACCACTGTGAAAGCGCTCTGACTTTCCCACTTAGACGCTATTGTAGGCTGCAGTTTGATCTGGGTTTAGATTCAGACCTATTGGGACAAACAGATTTATTAAATAGTGCTTCTATAGAACGCGTACCCTGGTATATGGCTCAGCTGTGGGGATGGATGTGGTTTTTTTTTAGCAGCGACTCGTTTGTCCAGGTAGCTCACAGTTTCCAGGGCAAGGAGCAGTATGGATGTTGGTTTGTTTGTGGTCGATTCTGTTGTGGCGCTTTTATTTTGCATGGTTGAATGTGCACATATAGGGAATATATTTCTTGAGAGAAGCAGATCTTTCTTCCCTGCAGAAAGCAACATCTGTTTTTCTGGACAATACAGCCAGGATGAGAACATAAGACTAGCAGATACAGCCAAGTTCAGGTTTTAGTAGTAAGCTAAAACACTGAACTAGCCTGTTTTTTGACTTTGGGGGTTTTGTTTTGTTGTTTGGTTGTTTTTTTTTTTTTAACCAATGCCTGTAAAATGTATCTGCTCGTTCTTTGCTGAATTGCAGAAGGAAATGGTTAATGTTTGCTTATGTTGATAAACAAGATAAGATGCACCTGCAGCATGAATTCCCATCTTGGTCATGAATGCAGCCTGTATCTTTGCAAACTAATCTGTTTAATCAAATATTAAGTTTTATTCAAATTCCAAAAGAAACAGACAGCGAATTGTTTTTCTGCATGCTCTTTCTTTGTCATGCATCCTCTTTGCATCTCAAGAAAAATAGCCTTGTTCAGTCCCAAAGCATTTGCATAGATCAAAATTGAAGCACAACAGTAGTTTGTGTGCTGCTAAGACATCTGTAAAGGTGAAGAAGTTTAGCGTGCTCTCCCTGGCAGGAAGGCTTTAAAACATTAGTGAAACTTTCTACAATTTTATTTATTTTTAAACAGAATTCCAATCCAACTGGAATGAGTTTCACAGTCCCAATATGTGAAAGCTATAATTAGTGAATTACAACATTTTGAAATGAGGAGTTATTACATCTGACTAGAATTAAACTAATTAAACTTAAAAAAAGAGCGAGTGATTTTACAGCAAGCTGGGTAACTCCGTGCTGTTGATAAAACCTGGGCGATGAACAAACACTTTCCAGCCAGCCCGTTCTTTGGAGGGTCTTGAAGATGCTCTGAGATACAGCTATTTGGAGCTTTGCTGCTTTAAAGCACCTGAGGTGTAACTTAAGGAGCAGCTTGGCTTTGCCAGTGCAGATTTTTTACCTGATACAGCCTATTCTTACCTCTTTTCCTTCAGCTTAATACATGTGTGGGCTAACAAAGCCTGTTAGGGCGTTTGTGGGAGCTCAGGCTGAGAGTAACGGGAGTGAAAGATCATCTCCACTGAAAAATGTTTTTGCAAAAGAGGAGCATTACCTGGGAGGATTGAAGTGCAAATGAGTCAAATGCTGTGCAATGCCACCCCTGTTCTTCTCCAGTTAAAACGTGCAAGAGTGTGTGGATGTTTCATTCCCAGTCTTTCACTTGCTATTTCTTAGCATTCTGCCTTTTTGCTGCCGCTGCTGCGTTAGGTGAGGCTCCGTTGTACTGTGTAAACGCACAACGCCGACACTCTCAGGTTGTTTGAACACCGCTTTAGGTTCAGCTGCAGTACACTGTTCCTCTGATCTTTTATGTTCCTGAGCAGATGTCTTTCATTAATTTATGGATTTATCATCTTTTCTTTCTCTCCTTTTTTTTCCTTCCTTTTTTTTTTTTTTTACACCTGGCAGCTGGCTCAAGTTTCAGCAGTTATTGTCTATTTTGCATTACCCATAGAATTGAATGTCATCTGTCTTCACAAAGCTATAGCTAAGAGAATTGAGGCAAGCCACACGAGCTGCTGGGACAGAGCTTGTTTGCGTTCCATTCGGCACCCCTCCTCCCTTTACCTCCTTAATATTTATTTGTGCTCGTTTTCTTTCCTGGCCTTGAATGGGGCTTAGCTCGTGTTCGGTACAGCTGTATGTTTACTGAATCTATTTCATCATGAGTCATTGTGCGTGTGTAAGTATCCTGGAAACAGCTAGTGCTTTCTTGGAAGAACAGTTGCTTTTCAGCCCAGGCACTTAAAAAGGAAATTAAGCAATTGGTCAGTTCAGTTTTTTTCTGAAATAGCAATGGGTTATCTAATTCTTAGCTCTTAAGTCTGTCATTAACTATTTTTTGCTAGATTATTACAGATCATATCTTTTATCACAGTAAAGTGTTAACCTTAGGATCAAGATATACAGATTTGTTGCATATTTGATATCGCTTTAAGGCTGCCAAGTGCTTAAGAACAAGTATAATTTTAATAAAAAATGGATTTCTGGGAATTTGAGTCTCAGAACATCTTTTAATACATGTTTCATTCAATATCAATATCCTCTGGCATTAGAGCACAAAATATTTAAAAATCCTAAATGCAGAAGGAATCCAAATGCTCAGACAACTGTCTAATATGCTTAAATCCAGCAAATATGAGAGCTTTTTTTGAAAGTTTAAGTCTGTCTTTGAGCTTGCATTGAAAGAGGATGTACGCCAAACCCGATACTAACATGTTGTCAGCGTCAGAGGAATTGCAAATTAAGGAGACTTAGGATTTTTTTTTGTCTTTTACTTATTGGAGTACCCCTTTGGACCCCCACTTTCCTGAAAGGATCGCATAACAAAATGGATTTCTGGCGTAGAAGTTTTGATTTGTCTAAAACTCTTATCACTAAGCAATAGGTGACAGCTTGCTACTATTATTTCACTTACGTATTTTGACAGATGGCACTGCAGAGTGTAATGCTCTTTTAGACTTCTCTATCAGTCTAATGGAGGTAACTGGAGGTTCTTTCAACTCTTCTCTTGGCACAAGAAGTATGTCAGTCATAAATTATCTTCTTTGTAATCATTAAGCATCTAACACAAAATGCAAGTTCAGCTGAGCCGTTTTCCATGTACTTCCAGATAGTAAGAGGTTTTTAAACTAATATTATCAATTACTTTTTTTTAAAATGCTACATTTTTGCAATCTAAAAAGGAACCTTGTAACTGAAATAAAGGGGGAGGGTTTCAGTAGATTTCACAAATTAAAGAAAAAGGAATTCTGCTGAAAAAAAAAAGGCTAGCTAATCATCAGTAGCCTGCTGATAAAAATTAGTCTGGGTTTCCCGTCTCGAGGCCTGGAATGAGATGTTCTCTGCTGACGTGCGCCCGGCCGTAAGGTGGAGGAGGCACCTTGGCTGCAGCACATCTGTCAGCTTGGTTGACCTTCCCCCACTGTAAGGTGTGAACCGAGCGAAATTTTCAACAATTGTGTTTAGGAGAAACAGTCCTTAGAGAAGCTTCTGGGAAGAACCCTTAATTGACCTTGTGGGGGCCACATTGATTTTCTCCACGTGCATCTTCATTTCTGATAAATTATAAAGCCATTAATTTGCTGAGGAAATGGCAGGGCCAGCCTGCGGCACAGATGTGACCAGAGCCGTTCTAGCACGCAGTACACAAAAGAGAGCCAAGAAGCTGGGAGAAAAATCAGCAAGCCGAGATTGTTATGGTTAGCTTCACATTCCCTTGGGAACTCCTTTCGTTGCTTCTGTTTACAGATCTAAAAGGTAATGATGTTTCCAGGATAAATAGGCTGCCTTATAGGGTAAGTGGCCATTTATTGATCTGCTAGCCCACATTTATCGATTGGTTAGCCCCAAATACGGCTTCGTTCTCCGAGGAGTTAACTGTGTAAATCAGGAGGTGACAAGTTTGTGGTGGGGATGTTGCACGGCAGAGGGGCTCTGCCTCGTACAAACTCTGCTTTGATTTGCAAGGCAGCCACTGGAGCAAAGCCACGGCAGGATTAGAGAGAGTTACTCAAGATGTTAAAATTTATCGACGCGAATGAAACAGGTGAAATGCACTGCCTGTATCAAACATTGCTCAAAATGATGAAGCGCCTCCGATTGTCTCACACGCATTAGCTTTATTTCGTGCAAGTGGCACAAACTGAGAGCAAAAGAAACTTTAGCTGGAATCGCAGAGGAGAGGGAGAAAAAGCTCCCGATAAGTTTTCTGCAGCACATGCTTCGTGCATTTGTTTCCTTAGCAACAAGTGAACATACATATGGTACGCAAGCCGTAAACTTGCAAGATTCCCGAGACCCAGCACCAAAACTGATAGGAAATACAGGGTTTAAGTGACATCGCCTCGCATCCCTCGTTTAGCTATTTTACAGAAAATTACAGCGCAGCAATTTAAATGTTAATATTTTCTCCCGTAGTCTGGGGAACTGTAGAGTATTGAAGGGGGCACTTTGCTAGCTCTGTACCTTCAGAAACAGCTTGCTCAAGAACAGCATTTTCCTTTACTAATTCAATCCTACATGCAGGAAGGCTTGTCACCGAATCACTTGAAAAAGGCCAAGCTCATGTTCTTTTACACCCGGTACCCAAGTTCCAATATGCTGAAAACCTACTTCTCAGACGTAAAGGTAAGAAAATCTCTTTCCCCTCCCCCTCTCCTTACTGCATGCTATATTTGCTCATGAAATGGTATCATGTTGTCCTATTAGAGATTAATAATATTTCTGCGTACACAAAGGTTACAGCTGACATTATTCACTTGGTCTTCCTGTTGAGGTGTAACCTGCTTGTGCCTAGATGGGGAAAGGGGATGACTTTAAATTAAAAATAAAAAAATCACTGACATTTTAGAGCAAAGTAAGAATAATTATCACAGTAAATGAAACAGTTTTCAGTATGCGTATCCTATTAAAAAAAAAAGGAGATTTCACTGGTGGTAGAAATGTACTTCCAAGAACATTTTGGAGCAGTTCTGAAGTGCTCCCTTATTGTTTCATTTCGGTTGGTTTCCTCATATTTGTGCTTACATAAGCAGAGTGTAGAATCCCTTTCTTTCTGTCAAAAAGAAACAGTACATTGAAATTCTCCATGCAGAAGCTGCTTAAAAACAAAAGTGATGATTGTCTCTTATTTACAACTTAATTTGTTGTTGATGCAGAGTACACTGAGCATAAGGAGGATGAATAAAGTGACAGATTCAGGCCACATTATTCAAATGAGGATATGAAAGCTGTCGACATACAGCTGCATCCTCCCTCATTCTACAGAATATTAGGACCTCCTGATTTTTTTTCTAAAAGTAATTGTTTCTTCACATCAACTTGATTTTGTGTTAATCATCGAAGTTTTTTTTAAAAAAAACATAGATTGGGTTTTAATGATTATAATGGCATACATGGTGTCATTATCTAAGTAACTTTATAAACATTACATTAGCTTAAATTAGTTTGTTACATTCCTCCCCTCCCGACCAAATTACAGAAATCCTTCTTTTAATCACTTTTGGGTTATGGGTTTTTTCGGT